CCATTTTAGCTCATTGACAGATCAGCTGTTGATCTTCAAGCTTTCTGATTTTTTTATAACATGATTGTCCTTGATTGATATTTTGCATGATAATTCTTGAACAATATCATCAATATTACATGTAAGCAAAATACTGCTGAAGATCATTAAGAAAAGGCTAGAACAGTACTTAGACAGGGAACTGCCAGAGGTTCAAGCAGGATTTAGAAGAGACCATGGCACCAGGATTATCATTGCTGATGTCAGATGGATCCTGGCTGAAAGTAAGGAATACCAGAAGAATGTTTGTGCTTTATTGACTGTACAAAGATGTTTGACTGTGTGGATCATGACAAGTTGTGGTTGACATTGAGGAGAGTGGTAATCCCAGAGCACTTGATTGTGCTCATGAAGAAGCTATACCTGGACCAGGAGACTATTGTGCGAATGGAGTCAGGGAGCACTGCATGGTTTGGAATTGGGAAGGGAGTGCATCAGGGGTTTATTCTATCTCCATACATGTTCAATCAGTATGCTAAGCAAATTATCCGAGAAGTTAGACTTTATGAGGAGAAGTGTCACATCAGGATTGGAGGGAGACTCATCAATAACCTGCGTTATGCAGATGGTACAACTTTCCTTGCTGAACATGAGGAGGGCTTAAAGCACTTGTTGCAGAAGATCAAGGATTGTAGCCTTCAGTATGGATTGCATCTCAATGTCAGGAAAACGAAGAACCTTACCACTGGACCAATAGGCAGCATCATGAAGGGTGGAGAGGAGATTGAAACCGTCAACAGCTTCAACTTGCTTGGATCCACAGTTAACACCCTTGATACCAGCAGTCAGGAAATAAAGAGAAGCATTGCACTGGGAAAATCTGCAGTTAGGGATCTTTTGAAAGTATTGAGGAGTAGTGATGTCAGTTTGAGGACTAAGGTGCATCTGATTCAGGCCATAGTCCTTTTGATTACTAGCTCTGCATCCAAGAGCTGAACAATGAATAAGGATGACAGAAAAAAAAATTGATGCCTTTGAGCTATGGTATTGGAGAAGAGCACTGAACATCCCATGGGTGGCCAGGAGAATAAACAGATATGTCTTGGAGAAGGTGCAGCTGGAGTGCTTTTATTTTTTTTAAAAAGCATTCTGTTTATTACAAATATTTAGTATTGCCTTCCCATATTTCCCACCTTTTGTTTTTGTCATAATTATGTTATCACCTTTATACACAAACAAATAAAACAAACATAATTAACTCAAAGAAATACTTTCAAAAATCTGCATATGATCAGAAGGATTCAGGTTGGATATTCCTTGAAAGTTTGTTTTAATTGTCCCATTGTCACAGTGCTTGTCAAAACCAGTTCTGATTAATCTCCTTTGTCAGTGTGTCCTTTGCCATTCTCTATCACTTCTCCCTGAGAGAGATTTCATCTTGATTCATAAGGAAAAGGGGTTGGCATATTCTCTTAGCTAC